TCATACTGCTTATTCAGTCAGTACTGACCTCTCTGTAATCTAAAATATGCTAACTGTCATCTCAATCACTATCTAGTCGAACCATTCTATTATCAAATCATACGATATTGTCTTGTGCTTTTAGTTAATAATTTAAATTCAAACAGTGTGTACCAGCATGGTTCCACTTTGAACTTTGTTCATGTTATGATGTTCCATCTATATTGTTTCTATGCTAGAAAAGATGAAAGAATTTACAAGCTTTATTTGCCTGAAAAATGACTTTGTGAACTCAGGTGGACATCTTACAACTAATGCAATTTGTAGATTCATGGACACTTTTGTTCATACAATATGCACATTTCATGGGAACATTTCTTGCCATATTCAGATTCATGGGCAACATGAAAATTAATGTGAATTTTTTTCTTACAATATTTATTATATGCAGACTTGCGTCATTACTTACCGGCAATCTGAAGTAAAAAGGGGAACTGAAAAATACACACGACACATTTGATTTCACTTTTCATAATCATTTATTTTAACATACAATCAAATGTCAACATCAAATATTGACATGATGCACAAATACTGTAGCCAAGCGCCAATACAAATACTGATTCACAATCCATATTTTTAATAAAGCATCTAGTGTATTAAACAATGTGAATGAAAAGAGTTCTGTTAATGAATTCTATACACACGATACATAAGCCAAATGCAATCTGCATAAATAATGCAGTGTTTTGTTAATAAACTCTCAGAAGATTTTTCAGGTAAATAAAAGCAATATTGACAGGTTTCAATTCCTAATGGGAAACCCATTAATCATAAGTGAACACCAATACATGAAGCTGATAAAATAAATATTTGTAATTTAAAGTAAACTTGTCACAAAATTTAAAATTACATCAACTTTGCAAATTAAATTGAAGAGTAAAAGTTTATGTAAACCATCAAAACTGAAAAATCTCTTCATGAAGTTTCCTTCGCCAAAATACAGGCTATTTTTCATATAATTTCCCTACATTCAAATTTAATTTTCAACAAGGCAGAATATGAAATTATAGAAATGTTAGAAAATATTGTGAATGTTATTACCATTCAATATGCAAATAAGGGACTAAGTATTTAGTTAATTACAGAAACTATGGTGGATATATTTTGAAATGCAAAAAGAATATGCTTATTTATATCTGTAAAAAAATAATAAAGGTAACATTCTTTTTATCATCACTTTTTAGTGAAGTTTGTGCTAATTATTATAATAAAAACATTGTTTACTAATGATTAGGGAATGTTAATATAGCTAGAAATTTTAATTATGATTGTAAAAAACAAGCATACATTGGTGCCTTCACACAATCCAATGAGTGATCAAGTAGTATCGTATTAATTCAACTTGGGTAGTAGTTATTTTCATATGTTTCTCACCAAAGACATTTGAAAATAACTCCACTAGTTTATGGAATACAATATTACACAATCACAAATTTTGATATCCTATTTATTACATGTATTCATTTCTGGTGTATTTATAAGAGACACACTGGCAACAATTTAACTAAATTGTTGGTGAGTTTTATCAGTGGTCTATTGATCTCAATAGTAAATTAGTATTTGCAAATTCAAAAATGATTAAGATGAAGTGATTCAATAAGCAAGGAAGTACATAAAGTGTACTCAGAAGGTACACAATAAACTCTGGAGAGAACACCGATATATTTCCATAATATTCAATAATAATTAAACACCAAAGTCAACCTTTCGCAAAAAATAACTGCAGCCAATGGGAAAATTATTATCATTTGATCCAATCATTGGCATAATAACCAAATTAGAAATCTCAATTTTCTGAATGGTTGGAATAAAGCATTTTCTTATCTTTATTCAATAGAAAAATGCCTGGAAATGTTGTTGCAGATGTTGACGGGCAAAAAACATGGCGTTCAATGATAAAGATGAAAGATCTTTTAAACACAGTGGTAGAAACTACATACATGTACTCTATCAAATGATGTAATTTAAATATTTGCATTGCACATCAACTCAAAATAAACTGACACAGTAACATTTCCAGACAAGACAACCAATGTCTGCACTTTGACTTTTCAACTCTATTTACATAGGACATAGACAGCAAGGTCACAATAACCTTGTACAAAACATCACAGTCCCTGGGATAGAGGAACTGTGAAAACATTAACAGAATTTTATAAAGGTTTGCACTAATTATAGAAACATATTTGCAAACATAAATAAAATATTGGAATTATGATTATCGTAAATTTTTATCGTGCTTTTAAAAAAAATCAATTAATTAATCAGGGCTAATTAATCATGCATTGTTTTTTCTGCAATTTGAAATAAAATGCCTGAGCACATTTTAAGGTTTAGACAATTTTTTTGTCGGTCATATATTACAAATTCTCAAATTAAATCTGTATTCTAGGTCAATACAAAAGGATGGAATATGGGTCAGATAACAATGTTTAACATTCAGGTGTCAATGTGCTTTGTGCAGAAAATCAGGTGATGTCTGTAATGACAGTAGAGTCTAAAAATAGCACTGCACAGACCAACAATCTTTGGCTACTACCAATACTATGAGACCATACCACTACATTTTCACTGAAGGTATTAATGGAACAACTCAATCAGGATGGTTGGCATGGCAACATTTACAATACATAGAAGAAACCAAATGATCAGCTTAATTTTAGTCCAATATTGCCTACAGCATGTTAGGGGTAGGTCATTAGAAACTAAATCTACATCCTTTGCACAGTAACTCTATCCCTTCCCTCCTTCAAAAATTCAAATGGTCAACCCTAACCCTAACCCTAAGGTATCTGCATGGTATATACAGGACAAGGTTTTAATTTTGTTTTTTGCTGATAGCTAAATGCGGTATTACCTTAAAACCCAGTGAATAAAGTATTGTTGCCTTCATGAGCCAATTCAGTATAGAATGCCATTTCTTAGCAGTAAAAGTTTAAAGCAAGATAGTATGGGTAATTGGTGAATGATCTAAGAGTCTACGTATGTGTATGATGTCCATTTCACTGTACCTGGTAAGTGTATAAACTAACAAACATGGTCACTGTGTCATGAGTGAGTGTTCTCATACTGTATCACAAGCATATGTGCTTATGTGAATGACAAACGTGTCAAAGTAAAATATATTTCAAAGATATAGCATACAATTTTTTGTTAGTGCGCTTCTATAAAAGATACATTTCTAATAGAGCATCCTAAGAAAGATTTTCAGACCAGCTTGCATAAATTAAAAGTCTATCCACCAATCATAATAAGACATTTAGTCTATCCACCAATCATAATAAGACATTTAGTCTATCCACCAATCATAATAAGACATTTATAGATTTGAACAAACTGGTAAAATAAATTATAATCAGATTATGTAAACATTATGTCCAAAATAAATGAATATGAATTACGAATAAAAATAAATAAAATGTGAAAGTTTCAGTAAAAAACTGATTCCCCGATTATGTGTCTGATAACAGATTATTGTAGACTCGCATATAGTTGGGGGTTTAAAAAAACAAACATTTTGTGGTGAATATACGATTAGCATGTCCACAAAAGAAATTATAACTAGATCTACTTGCAAGCAGTTATTCATTCATGAGCAAAGACAGACAAATCTAGTAGTTTAAAGACTACATACAACTGTAGTTTCTGTGAATATTAATGAATATAATAAGCGTTTACACCCAGTTTGAACTGAATGTGCTTGCAATTAGATATAAAGTCATGAATTCCTGTACACAAAATAAAACAAGGAAATTATCACCCATATATATGTATACAAACTTAGGTTACCATAAAGAAGTTATGACTTGCCCAATATGAATTACGCCTGTAACTTAAATTATTGGCAGTCATATAATACCCTCTAAGTCCCTTCTGTAACAATTTATTTTATAATAACTGTTATATACTGTCTTCACTATCAGTGTATCACTGAGTGATGAGACTGAACAACTTGAGAGGTCTGAATAATCTACCACAAAAGAATATTGTCCTCCAAAAAGAAATACATAGT